TCTCTATGAAAAAGTACAAATCAATGGTGTGGTGGTGTGTGCTTGTAGTCCCAGCTACTCAAGAAACTGAGGCAGGAAGATACATTAAGCTTGGCAGGTTGAAGTGCAATGAACTGTGATCGTGCCACTGTGGTCCAGCCTGGGCAACATAATGAGACCCTGTTGGTTTTTTTTTTTAAGTGCTACTCTAAGTGTGCACCACACACTGGTTTCTGTGTACAAATTATCACAGTCTGCAACAGGAGAAATATCAAGTCTTTTAACCTTCACCTTATTACCCAAACAGTAATCTGGATGGACCTGACTCAGTGTGACTGTGGACTCCTGGTCCTTTATTTGGTTTCCTTTCCCAGGTATTCTGAGTGTTCCTGAGGAATGTAGACAAGTCCCATAACTCTATTCTGGTGGTTGTTTGCTACTTCAGCTAGTTATTTCACTCCAGATAATGAATCCACCCTTGCTCCCAAATCACCTCTAGCCATCAAATAATGATATGCCATAGTGCTTTCCTACTTCCACATCGTGCCAAGCATACCCAACCTCAGCTATATTTCACAAAGCTTATTAGAAGACTGGGATATAACAATAACAATAGCTAAGCTAAACAGCTTACAGTAGTCCAGGCACTGTTCTAAGCTATTCAGTCTTTGTGATAATTATCTCCATTTTACACAAAAGAAAATTGAGGTACAGAGAGATTATATAACTGGAGGCTGGCCAGTTAACAAAAAGCCAACTCACTGAAAGCCAAATTATACCAAGGGGAAGAGAGAGGAGGACATAGGGTCATAGAGAGTAGAGGGTCACAAAGACTCTGAGGGAGGAGAAGAGGTTAAGAGAAGCAAAGACCAAGGGACTTGAGAGTAGAGGACAGATGATGAGCCAGGAGAAAGTCACACAACGTGTTTAATCACAGTAACATGGATTCCCAAGGTCTCACTACCTCCCTAGGCTCTGTAAACTATCTAATACAAATTGCTATAAAATGTATAAATAGGCTGGGCGCGGTGGATTCCGCCTGTAACTCCAGCACTTTGAGAGGTCAAGGTGGGCAGATCTCATGAGCTCAGAATTTCAAGACCAGCCTGAGCAACACGGCAAAAATCTGTCTCCACCAAAAATACAAAAAATTAGCCAGGTGTGGTGGCACATGCCTGTATTCCCAGCTACCCGGGAGACAGGTGGGAGGATTGCTTGAGGCCAGGAGGCAAAGGCTGCAGTGAATGGAAATCACGCCACTGCACAACCCAGCACTTTGGGAGGCTGAGGTTGGCAGATTGCTTGAGGTCAGAAGTTCGAGTCCAGCCTGGCCAACATGGTTAAACCCCATCTCTACTAAAAATACAAGCTGGCCATGGTGGTGCATCCCTGCAGTCCCAGCCATTCGGGAGGCTGAGGCAAGACAGTTGCTTGAACCCGGGAAGTGGAGGTTGCAGGTAGCTGAGATCATGACATTGTATTCTAGCCTGGGTGGCAGAGAGAAACTCCATCTCAGAAAAAAAAAAAAGTATAAGCAGCTAAAAGAGAGTTTTTGGTAAGCCACTAAATTGATCACACTCTGAATGTCCTTCAAGGAACTGATGTAAAGAGCCTGTGAAACCCACCCAAGATTACAAAGATTACAAAGCAAGTATGTAAAATGGTTGAAATTCAAACTCATATAGTCTGGGTCTAGAAGCTGAGTGTTTAGCCTCTGGGTGCAGGGGTGGCATCAAAGGAGGGGCAAGTAGGAAAGAAATAAGTGTCAAAAGACGCAATGGAGAAAGAACATATTTCCAGGGTCCCATTATAGGATCTCTTCCTGGCTGCCTCTAGCCTCAGGGCCTGCCTCCTTCTCCTCACCCAAATGCTTCCGGCCACATTAAAGCCCAGCAGGGAGCAGTCATTGGTTTCCCCATCACACACAGTCTCAGACTTGCCTACCAGAGGACATAATAAACATCTTCAGGTACGTAATTTTACCCACAATAAAAACAACCTTTTTCAATATTGTGCAGGCCTTAGTTTTTCATTGTGAATCTTCTCATTCCAGAATGCAATTTGGGATTTGCCTAGTAAAGTACATTTCCTGAAAGAAGACCAACTTTTCCTACAAAGAACAGAAAGCTCTTAGGAGATTTAAAATAACAATTTGTCCAGCCCGAACCCCACTTTTCACGTTGGACCTGAGGAATACCGTAAACCAGGGTCAGCAAACTTTTTCTGTAAAGAATCAAATAATAAATGTTTCAGGCTTTGTGGGCCCATACAACTTGTCATGACTACTCAACTCTGCCATTGTGTAACTCTGCTATTGTATTGTGATGGTAAATATAAATGGGTATGCCCATGGATTCCAGTGAAGCTTTATGGGCCCTGAAATATTAATTTCACAGAATCTTCATGTGTCAGGAAATTGTTTATTTCTCTCAACCACTTAAAAATGTAAAAACTGTTCTTAGCTCTCAGGCCATAGAAAGACAGTTGGCAGGCTGGGTTTGACTCCTCATAGCTTGCCAACCCCTGGTGGAAATCAGTCCACCTAGAGGAAATCTGAAGGGTAGAAACAACTAAAAATTGAAAATTCCTGACAATGTTAGCAATGTCAAAAATCCAGGAGACCCCCAGATACTCAGGAGACCGAGGCAGGAAGATTGCTTGAGCCCAGGAGTTCCAGGCCAGCATGGGCAACATGGGAGACCCCATCTCTTAAAAAAACTAAACTAAACAAAACAAAAAAACAGGAAAAGAAAAATCCGGGAGCTTGTTAAGTGATCAGTTAGTCAAAGGGAGAAAAGTGGGTATCACCAGATGACAGAAAACAAATTTTTCTAGAGAACTAATTTTGCTTTAGACATCCATCAACTTAAAGTAGAAAACTGTCTCTAATAAACTGAAATATTTGGGACTGATCTCGATCTCGGCCAAACCATGTGAGAGTGTTTTGGCAGAGATCGAGATCAGTCCCAAATATTTCAGTTTATTATAAACAAAGACTAATAAGTCGTCTCTACTATTGGAGGAAAAAAAAATAGACTGAAATGCAAAAATTCCTGAAAATGAGCAAATAAGGCAAAGATAAAATACTACAAATGTCTCTGTCAGTTCACAAGACCTTATCCCGGGCAGTCAACGTCCAATTAGAAATAACGTTTGAAAATTTAATAAGAGAAAAGGAAGCCTTCTTCTGTAATACTCAGTAAATAATGTTTAAAATTAAAATAGCAGTAATATTATCTGGTAATATGATGGTAAATAGCCCCCCCAAAAACTGAAAAAGTTGAAAGCAATGGTATATAACATTTTAAACTGTGTACATATGTGACTTTAATACAAATGTTTCAAGATTAAATTTAAGAAAATAAAAATTAAAAGTGTGAGCAAGAACTCCCTTGCTATGACAACCCGCGCAGCGGCCACCTCTTTGTTCTTGGGTTGTTCTTCTCTCAACCCGCCCCTTCCTCCTCCTCCTCCAGCAGTGGCCACGCCCCCTCCAGTGCGAAAGGCTGCGTTTCCGGCCCGTGGGTCTCGAATCAAAATGAGACACCTGCTGGCGGCAACGGCTGGTCGGCGGGGCGCGCAGGCCGAGGCTCCGCCCTAGACAGGAGGGCGTGTGGCGTCACTTCCGGCTTCCTCCTGTCTGTCGGCCCCGGAGCACGAGTTGTGAAGGGATCCACTTGCGTGCGGAATCCCTCAGAACCATGGTGAGCCTGGCCCCCAGCCTCTTACCCTGCTCCTGCCCCGCGTGCCCTTGCCACCCTATTGCTCCCTCTGTCCCGCTAGCGTCGTAGGCTCCATTCCTGTCTCCCGGGCCCGCCAAGCATGGTGCGGGCCTTGGGGCGTGCGGCCTGTGCCAGGCCAGCCGGTGAAGCCCACTACGAGGGGGAGGGGTGGGCCACAAGACCAGCGTCTCCTTCAGCCCAGACCGGGTTTCCATAGTTGCGGGAACCCACGCCCACGCCTACGCCTCAGCCCAAGCGAAGAAATTTCTAGTGCGGGTCCCGCTCTGCCCTCCCTCTAGGGGCGGAGCCACCCGAGGGTGGAAGATGGAGTCCACCGCGTTCACTCGCCTGCTGGGCGGCTGTACCCTTGATGGCCTGCAACCCCTCCGTGCCTCATTCTTTGTTCCAGATGGTCTTTAGTATCGCTATACGTAACTGTCAATCTCGCTGGTATATAGTTAATACTCCTGGGGCCCTTGTAAATCCGAAAAGCCATGTCGCTTTTCTTCAAGTCCTTCCCTGCACTTAAATGCCTTCTCCGGTGATGGAAGCTTCATTTGTTTGAAAACATTATTGTAAATGAGTTTTTGGGTAGATTCCATTTGTAAGACTAGTGGATGGCTCCTCAGTATAGTGTATTGGTACTTAAACAGAATGCCTCTTGGTTTTCCTTTTTAGGCGTCCCTGTCCCTTACACCTGTTAACATCTTCAAGGCAGGAGCTGATGAAGAGAGAGCAGAGACAGCTCGTCTGGTAAGCCTTGTTCTAACCATTGTTTTAAAGATAAAAATGGAGGCCGGGCGCAGTGGCTCACTCTTGTAATCCCTGTGCTTTGGGAGGCCGCCGTGGGCGGATGAACTGAGGTCAGGAGTTCGAGACCAGCCTGGCCAACCTGGCGAAACCCCGCTTCTTCTAAAAGTATAAAATTAGCCGGGCTCTGTGGCTCACGCGTGTAATCCCACCACTTTGGGAGGCAAAGGTGGGCGGATCACGAAGTCAGGAGTTCAAGACCAGCCCATGATGTATTTTTAGTCCCTACTAAAGATATAAAAATTAATCGGGCATGGTGGAGTGCGCCTGTAATCCCAGCTACTCAGGAGGCTGAGGCAGGAGAATCTCTTGAACCGGGAGGTAGAGGTTGCAGTGAGCCAAGATCGCACCACTGCACTCCAGCCTGGGTGACGGAGT